GGAAAACATTTATTATTGTTTTTTCTTTATAATACCAAGAGACAAGGCATCTGGAGCTCTCTTTTTTGTATCGTCTTGAGTGTGATCTTACCAGAATGGAAAAGGGGGCTGATGTTAGAGAAAAGAAAATGATACATGGGTTCGTTCAACTTGCATTTAGAGGAAAAACTCTACATGAACATGTGTGTATGTGTATACACAAAAGTGAGTGTGTCTGAATGAAGGGGGTCTTAAATGGGGGCTAAAATTGTATTTTGGAACACCGAGTTCGCCGGAGCAACTGCACATTTAACTTACGGCAGCAGCCTGCCTGGGGGGCAGGGGCAAGAAAACCTACTACCTGATGGGAAAAAGCATTTTTCAAAGGAAAAAGTCGTGTTGTCCCTGGACTTTATTAACGGTCCAGTTTGAAGTATACATTTTTTCCTTTAAAGAAAAGGGAGCGATTGCCAGTTATACATTAAGAAATGTCATTCAGTCATTTTTATTCATTCTCCGGAAATCTTCGGGAAAGCCTGAATCATACTTCTAACAAGCAGCAATTTTGTTAATCCAGGGGGTTATTACTCTGGGCCCTTATTAGGTTCTACACCACTGCCAAGCAATCCTATAACCCTCTCAAAAGAAGTTTACCTCCCTGTTATAAAACCAGTAGTGGTATTTATACTGTGCAATAATTAGTGTATTACTTGAATCCACTAACACGTTCATTTTATCTCTGCACAAAACCTCTAGTCTGCTTATAGAAAGCTTGTGCCTCCTTTGGAGCTGGTAAAGTGGTGAAAGAGTGAATTGAAGGCTGGTTGCACTTTCTCCTTTTGCCTCGCCTTAATTCCCATCTCTTTTTGCTCTCATCCAATTAGCACAGTGTATTAAGCGGTTTATCATCTCATAGTCAGCTATTGAGAGAAACAAGGCGAGCACTTTGCAATAGAACCTGCGCTCCTTTGACACCCTCAGGTACTTACATATTCCACTGTGCTATGAATAATAGAGGAAGAATGGAGAGCTAATTCCCTCATCAAAGAATGCCTTGTCTGCTGCTTTGCTCAACAACACCATTCTGATCAAAAGAAAAGCAATAAAGCTTAGCATAACAAAACGAAACCTACTTATTAGCTTAGTGGTTAAATTAATGCAGAGCCGCTGCTATTCAAAACCAAGGTTTGAAAACAGCCTCCAACAACCTGATAATGCTGCCTTCGGGATGAAGGAATTTTAATCTGAAATTTGAGGCTGGCTCAGATGAGTTAATCTATTAAACTGCTATAAGGAAGCTCCACAGCAAACCGTTCAATTAAGAAATATTTAGGTGAGGAGAGAAAGAGGGGAAGGCAAGGCCGCTTGAAGTTGAGGATAAGAGCATTGAATTGAGGGGTCGGGGATTCTGACAAGAGGGTTTGGACTTGGTGTGTTTTTTGTCAAACCCTGACAGAAGACGGAAATCTGGTTTGGGAGTTTCCTTGTATTGGCATCTCCTGCCAAAGCTGCATGAGATGATGTTTGAGAAGCCCCGGGGTGTGGAGGTAAGAAGTGGGGCTGGACAACGGGGTGGTGGTGAAGGGCAGGGACTTCATCCCCTTTGAACATTCTCTCCCCAACTGCACTCTGGACTTTAGTTTCCTGGACAAATTAAACTCTTACGGAGCTTGCCCTTCGTAGGATGTTCAACATCTGCCCTCCCGTTTCCCTTTATATGAAGGAGAGTTGAGGGTGAGCATGCCCTATCCGAGATAAATGTGTACCCTCTTGCAGGCAGACCCTGCTTCCTAAATTCAATGGGGAAGGTGCCCTTGTGGGGTTCCGAGAAGAGCAGGGGTTCTTTCAGAGTATGTTTCCCAAGGGGCCAGGATAAAATTTAGCCCAGAGGTTTAGTCTGGCCCACAGCATTTTTTATTTTATTTAAAAAAATCAGTCCCACCCGTGTAGCTCAGTGGTTGAGCATTGACCCAGGAACCAAGAGATTGAGGTTCGATTCCTGGTCAGGGCACACACCCGGGTTGCAGGCTCCATCCCCAGTAGGGGGGTGCAGGAGACAGCTGATCAATGATGCTTCTCTCTCATCAATGTTTCTCTCTCTCTCTCCCCCTTCCTCTCTGAAATCAATAAAAAAATATTTTTAAAAGTCAGTTGCCAAGGTTTAGAAATCGAGAGACTTTATGGAATATCAGGATTGTTAGCTTCTCTTGAAAACTGGATGTGGCCACCCTGGGCTCGGTCCCTCCCAGCATCACTGAACAGCTGCTGCCCCATATGGACAGTCCCTGCCTCTGTCTAGTGCGAACCTGGCCTGGCCTGTTGCATTCCTTCACTTTTTTGAAAAAATATATTTTTATTGATTTCAGAGAGGAAGGGAGAGGGAGAGAGAGATAGAAACATCAATGATGAGAATCATTGATCGGCTGCCTCCTGCACAACTCCCAATGGGGGTCGAGCCCGCAACCCAGGCATGTGCCCTTGACCGGAATCAAACCTGGGACTCTTCAGTCCACAGGCCAACACTCTGTCCACTGAGCCAAGCCAGCTAGGGCTGCATCCCTTCACTTTTAGCACTTGAGTTCAACCCCATTCCAGGGAGCCTGTGCAGACATTTGGGCGGCTCCTCCTTACAAAGAAGTGGGCAGCATTTCTGCACCGTCCTACCCACTGAGCTATCAGCTTGACACAAACCAAGGAGCAGAAACTTTTCTCAGAGAAAAGTTCATAAGCCATGTTCCAATCTTCCAAGGCAGATCCACTGGGATACTTCCAAGTTGCAGTCCCAACTTTATAAAATTCTGGAACACTTAGGTGCCTCCCAGGAAAGCCTCTTAACTAATCTGGAGTTGCAGATCAGAATAAGAAACATCAACAACGGCATTAGCTCTTTTCAAAGACTGTTCTCAGAAACGTCTGGACTCTCTACAGAAACGGTTCCTGCCCTCACAGTGATTCCAATCTAAATGCAGAGACAAGAAACAGACCAGTGCGAAGTTACTGGAGTCTCCCGGAGATTCTTGATGACCAAGTTCAAGGTAACTCTCTATCTGTATTTACCATAACCCCAGGTCCAATAAATCAAGGAAAACATGTCTTCTCTTCAGAAAGCAAAGTGGGGGCATGGGCTTGGGAAGCACACATTTGATAACCATTTCTAACCTTAGATAACAGTGATGAAAACCACACCAATCCCTTAGTTTCCCGAAGCAACTTGGGTGCTCCAACTTTTGACAGGTTGCAGAGCTGGAAGTACCAAGGCATTAATGAATGAACTGACAGGGCCCGAAACCCCAAGTGTTTCTTCTACTTAGAAGCTGAGTGTAAGAGACAGTGGAGAAAGGAGAGGGTGAGGGAGAGTAAAGAGAAGGTAAAGGGAGATAGAAGGCGGTGCCATCTCCATTGCTTTAACAAGTATTCCTTCACTAGGGTCCATGTTGGATGACCTTTCTGTCGTGGGGTAGCCTTTTCCCAGGAGTTATCACCTTGGCTCTCCCATGAGAGACACCACTGGGCTCTTAGCTTAGCTCTCTTTGACTGTCCAAGTCAGCAAAGGGCATGAGAAACCATACTTCATCTCTTAAAGGACCCGAAGTCCAGAGAAATTCTCCAGAACGCCACTCAGGACTTTAGGACATACATCACGTGGAGCTTCTCTGAGCTGATGCTAACCAGGCTGAGGTTTGGGAAGGGGACCCCTTATTCTTTGCTGCTCCCTCTAGTCAACGTTTTGTTCCTGATAAGGACTCACTGCAACTGGTTTCCCTTAGAAAACTTTATTCTTAAGTGAAAAAATAAAGCACAACGTATTTATTAAAAAAAAAAAAAACACATAGGAAAATAGTTTTAAAAATAAAGCACAGTTGTACAGGGGAAATATATTTTGTTAGTATAAACTTATCAATGATGTAAGGAAAGGCTGCTATATCGAAGTACGTTTAGCTTCTGGCAAAGAACAAATGAGAAAAATAGCACCAGAGGCAATTACCCAACCCTCTGAATATCGCACAAGGATCCTCGCCCCAAACTCGACACATTTTTAATGAAAAATGTTATGGGATACCAAAGTATTTTAAATGTGCTTTCCCACTGCATAAACCTTTACTTGGATTTTCTACTTAAGACGGAAAGCAGGAATGTGAGCGTAAAACACCTGCCCAGTGTGCATGTGCGTGTGTGTGTGTTGGACTTTGGAGCAGTTCAATAAACAAGTAAGCTCTGTTTAATCTATTTAGTGAGTGCAGGGCTTCTCAATCGCCCCCCTTCGACTAGTATATAAAAGACAAGGCTGAAAAGGACAGCCACTCCTGCAGCCAGCGGCTGGGAAGCGCTTGGGTTGAGCCTGGGTTTAATTGGCATGTGAAAAGGCAAAATGTTAGTGCTCCTACCAGCCTCCCTAAAGCTCTCTTTCTGGGGGCACCTCTGCTGAAGCCCTGGGGGCACAGCTTGGGGTCACTCTCAATTAATTTCTCTTCTCTCACTGACCCCTTCCCTCAAAATCCAGTCCTGAATCCGAATCCAAAGCAGCTAGCTCTTCAATAGTATGTGGTACATTTTTTGCAAGAGGAAGGCTGTTTGCATTTTCCCTGATGCTTGGTAGATGAAGTATTCTTTCAGTTTCTTTAATGAACCCCTTCCCGAGCCACATGCACGCGAACATGAGATGCAGTCCACATGGAAAAGTGAAGCAGAGAAGCGGTTAGGACCCCAGGGAGGTGATGGAGGTGCCAGGAAGTGGCTTTGGTTCTTCATTCAACCACCCCCGCCATGGCCACTTCTGGGGTGCCCTCAGGACCTCACAGCACAGTCCACAAAGAGCTTGCTGAGGTTCACTTCGGTGTAGCCACTTTGGGACAAGAACTGCTCTGTTATGTTCTTGAGATTTCTGTAGTCCTTACGAACTTCGTTGGTAATATACTGCTTCTTCATTTTCTCTGAAAAGAAATAAAAATAAAAGGATTACAAGTCTCAGAGAGAGCTTTTATTTTTCCATTAGAGTTTACCTACAATATTATATTAGTTTCAGGTGTATAACACAGCGATTAGACATTTGTGTACCTTCTGAAGTGACCCCCCTCCCCCATAGGTCTAGTACCCATCTACTGACTCTACTCCCTGTGCTTACTTTATATCCAGAGGGAGCTTTTTTTAAAAAAAATATTTTTATTGATTTCAGAGAGGAAGGGAGAGGGAGAGAGAGAAACACTAATGATGAGAGAGAATCATTGATCGGCTGCCTCCTGCACGCCCCCACACTGGGGATCGAGCCCGCAACCCACACATGTGCCCTTGACCAGAATCGAACCCAGGACCCTTCAGTCCGCAGGCCGACGCTCTATCCACTGAGCCAAACCAGCAAGGGCCAGAGGGAGCTTCTTTAAAGACCACTCAGTAATCCTCATGCACTAGAGAAGGGGGTGCAGATTGTATTTGCAGCTCGATGGCTCAGATATCTTCATGGTCCTGTGGCTGGTCTACCCCTGGCCCAGTCCCAGGCAGGGGGTGCCAAGCCCCCACGATTCCTCTGTGGAAGCCATTCTGCCTTTCCCTGCACACCACTGCTCAGCACCCCGCTGACGCAGCACATGGGGGGGGGGGACACAGCCACCCTGCACTGATGGGAATGCAGGTGCGTGCCCATGTGCAGCAGGCAAGGTGAACGCCACTTGCAGATGCCACTTTCGCGGTGCTGTTGAGCATATGCATACAATTGCATGCAAAGTATGGATGCGGCAGGAAACACTTTGTCTCCAAGGAAGCCTGGGTCTCCCAGTGCCAACTTCCCGCATCAGCTGGGCCTAGTTGGCTTCTCCCAGTCCCTCCTCTGCAGACAGAGATGAGAAGCAGGCAGGCTGCTGGAGAGCACCTGTCCATTGGCAAGATTGCTTTCCTCTCCGTCCACAGTGTGTGCTTGTAAACTTCGGATCCGCAGCCGCCCCTCCTCTGCTCTCTACTCCTTCTCCCCACACACCCCTGGCCTCCCTGTTTGGAGAAGGGCACGACCAGGCAGAAGAAAGAACCTCTCTTTCCCTCCTCAGAGCCTCCCCACTGGTTCTTTTCAACAAGCAACAGGGCTGTGACACCCAGCTCTGATCTTTCGGGGACAAAGGTGATCCTGGGGCAGCCAACCCTGCCCAGGATAGTTCAAACGACACAAGTTTTGTTCAAAGCTATCTGGGAACCCTGTGAGGTGTTTGGAGAGGGCCCTTTAAAAAATCCCCCTTTTCTGGCTGAGGAAACTGGGAGGTCAAGTCACTTGCCGAAGGTCACACAGCTGCTAATCCGGATGGAGACATGCAACCCAGGTAGCCAGAGCTCCCAGAGAGCTGGGCAGCCCTCAGAGGCCAGCCAGGCCCACGGTGCCCAGCGCTGGGAATAGGAAAGCATCGGGAAGGAAAGCATGGCAATCACAGAAGGACAAACCCCACTGAACAGCAGGGCAACACTGGTGTCCACAAAAGACCCGGAAAATGAAAACTCGTTCTCAAGATTGTTGTTCCTTAGCTACACATTCACATTTGTTCTCCACAACCTTTGCTAAATCACATCAACTGCATTTCAAACAACAACAACAACAAGTTTAGCAGAAGGGATTGAAATGTCCCAAGGCGGTGGGAAAAAACACACAAAACGGCAAGAAGAGAAAGAGAAGGGGCTCATCTTTAACCGTAGAAAGACACTTTGAAAGTTCTAATTATCGGGAGTCTGGGAAGAGGCAACAAAGGCCCCAGCCGGGGCAGCTGCTCTGCAGGCCAGAGCCTGGGCAGGCACCTCTTCCTGTGACTGACACAGCGCATGTGCCGTGGGGACAGCACAGTGAAAGAGCTGCGGTGATGTGGAGCAGGGCAGGAAGAGAGAGGGCACGGCTCCTGATGTGTTTACCTCCTCTGCTGATGGGATATTGACTTTTCCCACCAGGTTGGTTAGAAAGGGGACTATTTACGCTGCCACGCAGCAGAGTTAGAATGACAACCAGCGTCACTTGGTGCTCTTCTTCGCAAAAAACAACTGCGATCACCAGTGTATGCCACAGCCATCAATATGGCCAAGGCACCATTCCATGCCAGTTTGCGATGCAGATAAAAGCTCTCACTTGCTTCCCCAATGAGAACTGAATCAATAACGTAGGGAAGATCTAGGAAACAATTGTATTTGTTGTTGCAGGCCCCGGGGCTGGGAGCCGAGGGGGAAAGGGCTCACCCCTTCTTCATGGTTTTCGCTCCCCCACTTTAGGCCCATAGGCCACCCATGTCAGGCTTCACCTTGAAACCATCACCCTGTTTCCTTTGGTGCTCCAGCAACTATTTCTTTTTAATACATTTTATTGATTTTTTTAGAGAGAGGAAGGGAGAGGGATAGAGAGTTAGAAACATCAATGAGAGAGAAACATCGATCAGCTGCCTCCTGCACACTCCTTACTGGGTATGTGCCCGCAACCAAGGTACATGCCCTTGACTGGAATCGAACCTGGGACCCTTGATTCCGCAGGCCAACGCTCTATCCACTGAGCCAAACCGGTTAGGGCTCCAGCAACTATTTTAAAACTCACGGGAAAATACTGGCGTTAAATGGTGGAAACCAGTTAATGTGGCCAGTCAAACCCTATTCCTTCTCCCTGCTCTGGTGTGGGGAGTTGTAAAGAGGCCACGGCCATCGGCAGTGCAGGTCAGATGCCTGAGGACAACTGTTAAAAAATCCCAAGAGGCCAAGAAGATCTGCAGCCACCCCAGCCTGGTCCTTGGAGATGCCACTGGCCATGGCTGTCACTGTCTCAACCAGCACAAAAACCCAAACTTGGTAGAGCTAGGGAAGGAAATGCTCTTCCTACATACAAGTGCATCAGCAAAATATACTGTAATGGGCTGCAGTAGCACCGGAAGTCACTCATCTTAATACACGAGCAATGGGAATCTACATGTCCTGGGAATCACATTTGAGGAACATGTATTTATAGATTATTGACTCTGCTCCATCCTACATGTGGATTCCTTAGGGTTGTATACTAATTACCAAAAAATATCCTGTCCCCACCCCCCATGGAAACAATGAAAAACAAGTTAGCCTAAATATTAATTATTCACCCAATGTTTTATCAGAAAATGAACTAATTTTAAAAGTTTTCTACTGATTAGAATCTAAAACCTGAAAACATGCACGTTATAGTATTTTCTTTTTTTAAAAATATATTTTATTGATTTTTTACAGAGAGGAAGGGAGAGGGATAGAGAGTTAGAAACATCGATGGGAGAGAAACATTGATCCGCTGCCTCCTGCACACCCCCCACTGGGGATATGCCCGCAATCAAGGCACATGCCCTTGACTGGACTTGAACCTGGGACCCTCTAGTCCGCAGTCTGACGGTCTATCCACTGAGCCAAACCGGTCAGGGCACGTTATAGTATTTTCTATATGAAATAACTACTAGGCCATCATCTGTGGGTTGGACTCTTCAAGATTTTATTTCAAAGTCAACTGATCAAATAAAATGTCAGAACTACTTGGATCAAGGGAGTATTCTCCCATCTCAGGAAACCATCTCTAGTTCAGATATTTTGTCTGTGTCAATAAGACCAAAATCTCTTTTCAGTTTTACTCCTTCTAAATCCCTTTCTCGACTTAAAGAAACACACTGAACTAGAAACTAGGAGGCAAAGACATTTTAACATCGCATACTGGTTATTTTACTTTAATTAAGGCAGGCTTAGGCACACAGGCAGCAGCCGTCTCTGTTCTGAATGTCTGTTTCATTTATTTCCGTGCAAAGGTATCAAACAACAGTCAGTTATAATTGATTCTGTCAGGTGTTATACAGTCAGTCATAATTGTCTCTGTGTAGAGGTGTGTCAATTTACTATATCTGAATTAAATATTCTGTCAATTATGAAACCAGGTAATAATTTCAGTCAGTTTTTTAATTGCATGGCTTCCCACCATACAGTTCTCAACTTTCCCACCTTTTCTAATCCGTAGCCTCCCTCCCTCAATGCAACAAGGGCTCTGTGGAAGGGGCGGAATGCAGGAAGCTTTAGGAATTTTGAAAAAAAAAAACACACAAAAAAACCCCCACACAACCTCTTTATGGTTTAAAACCATTCAACCTATACAGAGAGCTGTTACAGCCTCTGGCCTGGCTGTCTTTCTCCTGAGTGTCAATCAATAACCGAGTGTGGGCTCTGCACAGTATCTGAAAGATCTCAAGTGACATCCATGTTTCAGAGGCAACCGCATTTAGGGCCCCAAATCAAATGACATTTCTCAACCAAAATAAGAAATAAAAAACCATCTCCTTCCATTCAATTCTTATTTAGAAAAATTTCATAAGGCACAGTGCCAGGCACACACAGCGCGCAACGCATTTATTGACTAACCAACAACTGGAGGACCATTCTCGTCTGTCAAATCACAGCTTAGATGCTAAAATATTTCTAAGGCTGAAGAGTCTCTCTGTTAGTCCACTATCCAGCTCCACTGCTACTTATAAATAATTATCTTTAGTTTTCTTTTTCTCTTCTTTTTTGTTGATACCAAAATACAGCCTTCAAACAGAATAAAATATCCATGGTTTAGCTCAAGTGCTCTACTAGGCTGATCTGACAAGTATTTAGAAGTGAGATAATTCTCTCCACCATTGGTCTGGTTCATGTTCAATAAATACAGGCTTCCTGCAGCCTGGCGGGCTGAACAGTGACCCTTCACGCTCCCAGCGAATGGAGGTGCTGCAGGGCCCCACCACCAGCAACGGCTGGTCACTGGAAGTTTGGGAGAGAGCAGAGGGTGATGGGAGAAGGGAGGAGACAGGGCGAGCCAATGTAAAGAATGCCACATCTGGAGTGAAAAATAGAAGGGGAGAGTGGTGCCCCTTACCATGTTTCAGTGGAGAAAGAGTCACCTTGAAAGAGATCAAAAATTTCCTTTCAACTGAATGAAGTGATT